TGTTCAGACAGGTCTGGATCAACGCCTTCCCGGCCTCGCTCGTTATCATCGGCTGCAGCTTTCGTGTCGCGAACGTGTACACATGCCCGGTCTCGCTGGCTACCAGCAACATCACCTGTGTACCTGTCAGTGTCGACAGCTCGTACGCCTGCAACCAGAGATAACGATTAATTAGGGATGTCCCGGGCTCCTTCTTCGGATCGTATTAACGACGCTTCGCTCCAGATTTTTCCTTCTTTTTGCACTTTTATCCTCCGTCTTTTCGGACTTTGGTTTTTGTCTCTTTTCGTTGATCGAATACTGGTTTTAGCCGTTTTTAAGCGAGATGGATTTTAATCGAAGAAAAGTTTTTTCAGGAAATTGAAGAACGATAGAAGGGTATAACAATGAGACACTTGTGTTTCCCGTTCGATGGAACTGCAAATTTGAAGATCGAATGTATCGTAAATTTAACTCGCTGCATTGCAAATTCATATCGTAATTGATTAAGATAATATCTGTCTAAAGAATCAAAGTACGGATGTAAATAAAGTAGCAAACTTAGATTCTCGAGTAACGAAAGCAATGTTTTCCACTCGACTCTTAAACGATCAACGTATATTACAAATACTTGCTACTCAGCGATCTTTATAGAGCGGTGTTATGCAAATTATCACCGCCTGCATAATCATTAATATACAATTCTTTTAAATAATTAAGCGAACACACACGAATAAAAAAAACGATATGCGCACTCAACGCTTTATGTTAGAGAGATTATACCTTGTAATGACATAATAATTATCAAGGTTTACCGAAGCGTTTACTAGCGTGGTGCGGATGGAATTCTTTGTTTTTGTAGGGAAAACTGACAGCCCGCCATTGTATATTTCAGTTGAATCTAAATTATAAAAATTCAGCCTACTAATAAGAAACCTACCGGTCGAGGGGGAACAACGCAACCATACCATAAAAATGAATAAACATACGTGGAACGTTATGAAATCGTTGTCTTTAACTTAGATCAGAATGTTGCTGCGTGTTTACGCTCAACGAAAGTATTTTGTTTACTTAACGTTTGTAATTTATATATTCTCTAAAATCGGACCTGTCTATCGATTTTCATATGTGTAACGCAAAATTCTATATTTTTTATCTAGAATACAATGAATACAATGCGATTAGGTGATTAATTTGCAGCATGCAAGATCCAGAGATTTACAATTTTTGTATTTATTTTGCGATTTATTTTTCAATTACTTTCTGTATATTAGTGATTGATAAATCATTTAAAAAAATGTAAATATTATCATTATAATGTAAATATCGTACAGATAGAAAATACATACATTAAAAACTTAAGAAAAATATTTGATTCGGTGCGTTAAAATTGTATATTTTAGCGTTTTAAGAACTGTTAGAAATTGGAAACTTTTTTTTTAGCAATACGTAATTCTTTTAACACTGCCTACGAATTTAGCCTAATATTTAAATTCGTACTTTCTCTTACATAATGCCCCTGTTTATTTTAAGTTTAACGTAAGTTTCCAGTTTTCCAATAATGTTATAAAGCAGTTATGTCAGTTTCGTGTCAAAACATAGCTAATTATAGAGATCCGTCTTTAGAAAAGGGGAACAATCTATCTTTGGTTTTCTATATTTGTATGAAAGATGCAATTTGCCTTAGGTTCTTCTACGGATTTAGCTACTCCGCCGTTTGGATCAGATAAACAACTGTAACATGATTAAATTAATGTTAAATTAAAAAAGTCTGACTTAAAAAAAAACAACTAGATTATTTTCAGATTATTTGCTCGAGGAACACGTTGTTAATAAAAAGTTTATAATTATAGCGAGCGATAAAAGGTAAACAAAAATAGATACGTCATTTTCGAGAAATTAAAATAATGCGCTTTTTAGACGAAAGATTAAGTTTGACGTGACAAGACGTAAAAGCAATTTTTACGATATTTTGTAGTGGCTACAACGCGTTCGTTACCTGAAATATAAAATACAACGTTAATGTCAATATAGATGCGCAACCGTTTACAGAATAGATTCTGTTGTGTACGAAGCTTTAACAAAAAGAAAAAGGCACACATAAATTTTCTGACGGACGTGTAACTTAATCGTGTAATTTATAACTTTAAACGTATATTTATTTACTGATTATCGTTAAACGACCTCGCTAACTATTTTTATGTAAATTATATATAATTAAGATTAGAGAACTAAGAAATATGTACGGTCGATTCGTAAAAAGAGTCATATAACAAGTGCTCATCACAGAATCGTATCATAAAATCACGACTAATGTACTATAGCTTCCTTGGGCGTATTTTGATACTAAACTACCAAAGCTGTCAAGATGATCAATTAGTAATCTTTCGTAGTAATTTCATAGATTACAACGCTGCATTTCTAGGGATTTTTTTATGATTTTTTGTAATGCATTATGTATTCTTTCATGTACCATATGACTTTCTTATTTTACCATTTTCATCTTTCTGATACAAATTATATACTTTTGTAGTCAGTAGTTCTAACGGTAATCCAAAATACACGATTAAGTTACTGGCGTACAAATATATACGACAGCGAAAGCACAGTTGTCACTCATAAATCGCGCGCTCGCTAAACTCATCGGCTTACGTTTGATTTGCGCAATACGCGCAACCACACAACCATAATACACTATTTACATTTGCTATTTGTGTCATGTACTTTCTTATCTCTAATCTCTCGTCAATTTTGAATGCACTTAAACACCATGTTTGATATAGGATTCAATGATCACACGAAAAGAAACGATCGATCGTGACGATCGATCATCGATACCCGACGGATTCAACACACTGTTTTTGCGACAACCGTTTTAATTAACGAGAGAAATAAGGTCGACAGGTTTGTCGGATACGAACCTTCTTCATAATTCCGGTTTTCCTCTTCGAGAAGGTGGTATACCTCCGTAGTTTATTGTCGATGTACTCCATTTTAATCTTGACCCGTCCTTTGGTCTTCTTACCGTTCGAGGGGGGTGACTTTTTCGGTTGACCCAAACTCGTAAATGACTCCTCGAGATTATCGGGGACACAGTCTGTGGACATTGACATGGCCTGCTGTTGCGAAAGTGCCTGCCGTGCGTTACTGTCATCGTAACAGACGTCCGAAGTGGTCCTCTTGATACCCCTCTGTACAGATCCCACGCCGGCATTCGGTGCGCCTGCAGCGGCCGCCGC